AACAAATGTGCATGTAGTTTGTTGTTGCTACTGGTTTTCAATTGCTTCTCTTATGAAAAAAATTTTTAACATGTAAATTCATTTTTAAAGTTTTGATTTCTTGTAAAAAATTAAAAACAATATTTTTCAGTTAAGAGACCAAGTAATTTGAAATAAAAAATTAAATCAGCTGCTCTAATGATACTACCTGGCAGCGCTATTTCAAAATATTTTCAAATCTGTTCCGCCGTCCGATCAGCCATCGCCGTCATACGAAAGACATTTCATTTTTATATACATACGTATATACATACATATTTACATATACCGTACACAAATAGCTTCTGATATCAAGCGTGATAAATTTTCATATTGGTTTTGAATTTCCTTTAAGTTCACTCAATTTCATACATATAAAATTGTGTTAAGGAATAAGTATCCTTCTCAGAATCCAATTTCTTAGTCTTCAAATAAGGAGCGCCCTAATAATAAGCAAACAAAAGTAATTGCAAATACTTATTTGCATGCTAATATTTAAGGATGTTCATTAATATTTAAATAAAATTTCCAGCTATAAGTAGCAGTCTTACCTTTCACCATGGTGATAAGCATCACATTTTTATTTATTTTGAGCATAAACAAACGCTTTTTTATTAACATACGGACCACGCGACATAAGATAAACATAATTGGTTTATTTTTAAATATCATTTATTTGAGATGTATTCTATGCTTTAAGAGGCACGCGCTTAATGTCAGCGTTATTAGCCGAATTCACAAAAAGGAGAAGGTTATCAATTCATCGGAATATTTTATTATTTTTTTCAGTGTATGTTACCGCATAACTTTGGACCACGTTAACCTATTTCTGTAATTATTTTTTGAAAGGAACGGTGTTACCTCACAGGTTGTCCCATACTACATTGGTTTAAATCCGATCATTGGATCATGAAGAAATTGACGTTGATCTTAAATGTTTATATGGGAACAGAAGTCGGTTTTGTTTTTTGCTAAAAACTTTGTTTTTAGAAATAAATTTAAGTTGTAATTATTCTAAATAATAATTAAAAAAAAAATAACTAAACTCAGTTACATGTGAAAGAATTCAGATCTTTTAGAGCCGCCTGACTGTTTGAGAAAATATCGATATTGTTCCAACCGTCTACTCCTGTCCTTAAGCATCCGGCAACCTCCTCTATAGCCGCAAGTCCGACCTGAATGACGCTGTAGTGGTAATTTTCTATGGCCTTCCGCAAGATTTCCGGTGATAACTGTTCGCTTTCCTGTTCAACATTCTCCTTAAGGGCTGCGATTGTCTGAGGCTTGTTGGCATAAACCAGCGACTTTAAGTAGCCCTAACTGGGCCATCTTGCTGGCCATCGCCAAACGGGGGATTACGCGACGTGGAAGCACAGCCTTCATAACATCCATTGACGCCCGTGCTATGTGTGCGGTTGCCCCTTCTTGTTGAAACCACAGGTTCACCAAGCCCCTCTCTTCCAATTCGGCAGTAAGAAGTCGTTTATCATGGCTCTGTAGCGTTCGCCAGTATTATTATGGGCCATATGCATCGCGACCTCTAAAGTGAAGTGATGAATACTGCGGCAGCTCCTTGTTTCGCTAGGAAGTCAGCCTTCTCATTGCCATCATGTCCTCCGTGCCCCGGTACCCATCCTAATAAAACAATATTTTTAGCTCCAAGAGCGTGTAGGACATCGAAGAACTGAGAATTTATTTTGTGGAACTTCAGTGCCAGTAGGGCCGCCTGACTGCCAAACATAATGCAGATATATTTCGAGCATGTGCCTTTCTTGGGGCATTCTCTGCCATAAATGTCTATTGCATGAGTCTCGGCTTGAAAGTTGGTTGGGTAGCAGCTACCCATTGGTATCGATTTTTTAAAGTTCGGCCCAAATATACCGGCCTCTGTTTTACCATTATCAAGTTTAGATCCATCTGTGTACCAAACCTTTCCATTTGGTTTGGTGTATGGGTTCCCTACATTCCATAGAGCTCGATCTGCAATGCGTACCTAAAATTGTCTAGAGATTTCTAGTTTTGGAACTATTGCGTCGCGCATTTGCAATATGGGCTTATTAGCGAATGTTATTAGGACCCTCATGTGATCCATCATATATCCGATCTTCAGGTCAGAGGTGTTTAGGTAATTGGTAAAAAAAAAATCTACGCAATTATTCCACGCTCTTGCGGAATATAGCGCTCCATTTCTTGTCTATTTGTATACTGCAGCTGTCTCGTTCAAAAATGTCAAATATGACTGATAGTTTTTCATCGTAACTATTGAATTTTGCAGATATTTTGCATGTCTAGCCATTAAACATTTGACAAGTATAAAATAATCCCGTGGGATTGTTAGCAACCGTAAAAAACAAAATACGGTACATAAGCGCTACTGGAGACTTTTGCCCAGAGTCATATAAAATATAAATATGCATACATTTATATAATAATTTTACTTATTTATACCATTCATACTTATTTTCTTATTAACATAAAAAATCCATTTGTTACCGTTGAACATATTTTTCATTTTTAATTAAATTAAATGTTTGACATTTACCTAATTAATTAGTCTTCATAGTGAAATACCCACGACTGTTAGCAAATTTATAAATTTATATCAATTTAATAGCAACTATATGCACATTAGGATGGACCAAAAAGAGTAAACTCGGAATTTTTACGCTATCACCACCTAGGATTGTTCTACGTCGAAAAAATAGGACCCCTATTTTTTATTTTGAAATAAAAAAATATCTAGAGGTCGTTTAAAGCCCTCAAAGTTTTCCATGTATTTCATATTTGAAAATCCATATTTTTCGACGTAAAACTATGGTTCTCCTCAGGAGACTTCCAAAAATAATAGCCAATTGTTTTTTTAACCATTTTTTAATACTAACGATTTTTTATTGGTGCCCCCACTGCATTATTTGGGGTTTCTTGGAATTTTTGGCGGACCAATAAATTATAGTTACTATGAAAAAATTGTTAAATATACAAACGAGTAGTGTTGTAGGGAATCTCCTGCAGAGAAGCAGAGTTTTCCGATCGAAAAATATTGATTGTTAAGAATTATATACCATTTCTACGAAAAGTTGTTTTTCCCCCATATAAAATACATGGAAAACGTTGAGCGCTTTGAGCGACCTCTATACATTATTGATTTTTTTCGGAATAGAACAATCCTAGGGGGTGAGAGCATAAAAACATCGACTTCACTTTTTCTCATGCCTTTTTGGACCACCCTAATGTATATACTTAGTACCCCACGCATGTGCAGATATACATACATATGTAAATACCTATATAAATTACCAATAAACTGGATATGCAAATCGTTGTAATTTGTTTGTGCGATTGATTGGGGGTGGATGCGGAATGTGGGTAATTCGAAGTGCGACAGCGAAATGCAACACATTAAAGCGCGTTTAATGTATTAATTTATTGTTTTCATTAAATGCACAATGAGCACAATGGGCCTTTTTTTCTTGCCTAGCATTTTCTTGACTACCTTAACAATTTAAATTAACCCTCAATGGCCGACTACCAGAAAGCAATAGACGCTCTTAAGCCCGTAAGAGCAATGATTGTTTTTTATAACCACCCTACGCTGGTTGTTGTATAACAAAAAACGATGTTCTTTAAATTTCTAAGTAAATATATTAATGATATGGGATGTGACTAAGCTTATCATCAATGAGGTTCTCCATGGAAAGGAATCGTTACCAATATATGCATTATCGTCATGATCGACACATTCATCGATAACTTATCGAAACGAAATGTTTTCCGATATAAATTCGATAAATTTATCGAGTATCGCTACTAACTTTACATACTTATTTACCAATTTCGATATCGATATACATACTGAAGAATTAATCGATGCGTTTATCGATATTTTACCCATGAATTTAAACCAGATTCTATATTGTTTCTATACCATTAATTCCTTCTACAAAAAAAAACTTTAGTTTTTAGAATTTTTCTCCGTAGTGGCGGAATTTTGTTATTTCCATGCCCCGAAACCCAGAAAATCGTTTGTGTACCCAGCTGAAAAGATCATTTTGTGTAAGTGTATTGGCAAAAATCCATTGTATTATTGCTTTGAAAACCTAAAAAGCACTATAAAGAAAAAAACATTATTAAAAACGTAAAGAAATAGGTAAATAAACGGCTTCATTGCGAAAATGGAAAGTTTATGACCCTAGGTGCAAAATATTTTATTAGCACGTCACCCACTTGCAAACGCAAATGTGCGAAGCTAAAAACGGAGGGCTGCATTTTTTTGTTTCTTCTAAGAAATTTGTAATTCCGTGCAGCAACTTACAAAAATATTTAGTTCAAAAGTAGGCCATGAACTTTGCATGTAATACCACTAACGCACAATCGCTTAAAAGTTGAAATGCGTAAGAACAGGAATAGAAAGAAACAAATGTCAGTCACCCGTTTCCAGCAACTTTTACTTACATACATACATACACACAAGTGAGCACATAAGTAGCTTATTTCATAAGTGTGAAAGTTTGTGTGTAAAATTGAGGGCAAAACTCTTTTCTAATTTTCCCAAGTGGCTTTAAATTAGCGGCTTTATTGCAAGTGAAAGTTTAAGTTTAACGATTTCAAGAACTTTTCACATGAGAGAATTAAGTCTTTGTTTTGGCTGCATGAGCATTGGATGGGATGCAATGGGATAGAGTGAAACTTCTGCGAATGTGGTTACAGTTGCTCGACCTGAGATGCTTTTTCGTCCGCGCTCACGTATCCTGGATAACGCGAGCAACGCACAAGCGAAATGAGCTAGCAAAGCGGTGTTGAATCTTGAGACACGTTAGAAAGAGAGGAAGCTTTGCTGGGGCTACATAAATGAGAAGTACAATTCAGCCTCGAATGACGCCCAATTTTTCTATGGCAATGACGACCACAGCAAACGTTTAAAAAGCTATTATTCGAGCATATTCAGCTGAAATTTCCGAACCCTTAATAAGGAAGGTTGGAAAACGAGGACTAGCATCACGGCTATCCAAGAATGGTATGTATGATGCAAGGCATGATAGACGTGGGGCCCTGCGACAATGACAACAGCTGGATTTGCGTAGGGGGAGAGACTTCGATATCAAGTACTGGCGGTCACCCCAATGTGCAAACTTCAAGGCTCTTCAATATCTCTCACATGGGCCGACGAAAGAGAAAGACGAGGTGTCCCAGGAGCTATTCTATGAGCGCTTGGAGCGCACTTACGAACGCTATGCCTACCAAGATATTGAAATCGTCCTTAGCCATTTCAATTCCAGTGTAGGCAAGGAAAGGATATTTAGTTACATCGCCAAAAAAGTCGGCCTCCGGCCGTTATCGAATTGACGCTGATTAACCCCAGCGGGAGCCAAAACATGTTGGCATGCAGCACTAAAGAGATCCATCAAGCTACTTGGCTATCTTCGGATCGAAAAACTAAAGGATCCTGCAGTTTCATACGAAAGGCACATTTCTAATGTTTTGGATGTACGAACCGAGGAGCAAGCTTCGATTGAGATTATATTCTGCTGCAGCCAGGACAGGCACACGCCTCTGTGCGGCAGCAGGAGAAAAGTATAATTTCTTAACCACAATATGGCTGGATCATCCGGCCCGCATGCCCGATAGATGAAATTTAAGTGTATCCTGCCGAATCCACAAGAAACTTGACGTTGGATTAGTCTTCTAAGCATCGGCTTTACTAATATTTTTTTTTTTAATTTGAGTTTTGGAGAGCTTGAGTACCATGTTGTCAAATTTTTTTGCATACACATTCAAATAAGTTTTTTTTTTTTTAATTTTCATTCATTTATAAAATTTATCTTTCAATATATAAGCAAGCTTAAATCGACCTAACTCTTTAATACATTTTCACAAAGTTAAACCCAGTCCAAAAATTTTTGAAATCCCTTAATTTATCGTTAAGATACTTACAACCGATCTATGAAAGTTATAGAGTTCTAGAAGACATTCGAAACAAC